GCCTTCTGGGCTTCACCTGAAAACCTTGGGACACCATTATACTAGAGGGTCTTTTTTCTCTTTCTTTTTTGTACTGATGGTCGAACCTTGGGCTTATGATCATGATGCTGGGCAAGTAGTCTGTCCTCCAATTACATCCTCAATCCCATTAGGTATTTACAGAGGTATTGTCATAATCAAATGTTCATACTACGAGATCCTGGAAGATAGCAAATTGGAATGACGACAATGTGGAGGTGGGAGGGACCACTTGAGTGGTTTTTATAGCATCTAAGAGAGAAACTACACCTGGCTGAATTGAGGCTCTGGCCCAGTGAGGGTGGGAAAGTGACACATACTAAGAGTTAATGATGATTTTTGTAATTATAAGGCTTTGCTGGATTTTTTTTAACTGTTGAAACCTCAGTGTTTAGGACAATGTTTAATGCATGACATGCAGTCTGTAAACATTTTGAGTAGTGGGTAGATTTGTAGTCTACTCAGGTGGAGTTTGTTCAGGAGGAGGAGGAGGCTTTTTGTTTGGGTAATATATGATGCTATTTTCAAAGTGAGACAGAGGCTCAGCCCAGAGAGGTAAAATGAGTTCACTTTTGAATTGAAGATTTGGGGGCTCTTGAGACAGCTGAGTCAGACATGTATACAGCTCCATAAGACGGACTGGCTTGGAAAAATAGATTTGGAAGTCATGAGTTTATTGTGGGAGTAGATGATGTTGTCCAAGGAGGCCTTAGATGAGGAGGAAGAGAGAAGGCTGGCATCAGAAAAGGAGGATCATGTTCAAGGAGATAGAAAGCCAGGAGAGCAGAGACCCCAAAGTCAAGGGAAGGTTTGTTTTTGTTTTGAGACAGGGTCTCTCTATATAGCTCTGAATAGCATTTAACCTACTACACAGATCAAGCTGGCCTGAATTCACAGAGGTCCACCTTTCTCTGCTGGGATTAAAAGACTTATGCTACCAGAGGCCAAGTTGAGGGAGCTTTGTTTTAATGTCAGGGATATTTGACCAGCCTGGAAGAAGAGAGGTGTCTTCAGAATACTATCTCCCTGATAGCAGGGATTTTTGTGCCTTTTGATCACCTCTGTATTCCTAGTGAATAAGCCTAGTATATAGTAGGCCCTCAATAAATAACTTAATGAATGTATGAATAAATGAATGAACTGGAAAGGGTCCTGTGACCTTAGGTGCAGAACCACAAAATTTGGGTGAAGACATTTTCAGAGGAGTATGTTGAGGGAAGCTAGGTCATAGTGGAGTTGTTGGGTAGATGGAGTGTGAGGAAATGGCTACAAAGAGAAGACTAACCAGGTCCAGCTTTCTGAGTGCTTACCACGTGCCAGATACCATGTTAAGCACTTGACATGTGTTAACCTATTTACCTTCCTCTTATCTACCGGATAAGATAGATGCTGTCAAGGTCCCCATTTTACAGACTGGGTTATAGACTTGAAGGTGGCACAAGCTTGAAAGAGATGTTATAGAGAATAGAAGGGGGCAATAGAGGACACAGAAGACAACTTTCTCAGATTTGGGGGGTATATGTGTGGTATATGTATGTGTGTGCATATGTCCATCCATGTGCTTGTAGAGGTCAGAGATTGATTGATGTCAGGTGTCTTCTGCAGTTGCTCTCCTTCTTACCAGGCAGGGTCTCATTGACTCTAGAACTCACTGGTTCGGCTAGACTGGTTGGGCAGTGTGCCTCCAGGATTCTCCTGTCTTTGCCTTCCAGGCCTGTGATCATAGGTGTACACTGCTACTCTTGGCTTTTTAGGTGTATGCTGGGGATCCGAACTCAGTTCCTCATGCTTGTGCATCAAGGACTTCAACACTGAGCCATCTTCACGGTCCTGCTGTTCTATATCTCTCCCTGAGGCCTCAGGGAGGTGCAGGAGACAGGGCTGAGGCACAGCTGGCAGGTGTTAAATTGATCAAGATTAAGGATTTTGCTCGTTGGATGTGACAGACAAGCTATTGAGAGTATTGTTGAGGTTACCAGTGTGTCTGGCCAGACAGAAGGAAGCAGGGATGGGAGAGAGCATACAGACCAGAAGTGGAGGGACTGTGTAGTGGAGCCCAGAGAAACTTTGTCTGTGGGACTTCTGTAGTGAGAAGGCGCTTGCTCTCAGAATTCCATGCCTGTGATGCACAGGCAACGGTGTGCTATGAAGGTCTTGCCAAAGTGGAAGCTGGGCAGTGAGGGGCCTGAGGAAGGACAAAACGATGCTTATGATTTTAATCCTTAGATGCCTTTGGACTGTTTTACTTTCTCAATTAGTTCTTTCGTTAGAAAGGGATACAGACTTCTGTGAGCTCAGAAGAGAACATTTCATTTGACTGGTGAAAGCAGGGTTCTGAGCGAGGTAGAGGGTAGAGGACATGAAGTAGGGCCCTGGAGAACTCTGCCCATCTGGAGTCATGAGGTCCTGCTAGCAGGAATGTGGTCCCACCCTGCCATTGTTTACAGGGAAGTGGAAGCCCAAGACCTGCTCAGCGTGGTGGTAGCAGAACCAGCTTTCCCAGCCCTGAGCTTGACCTCCGCACTGCTCCTGGGCACCCAAGACAGCTTCCTGTCCTTCCAGCTGACCGCATGGCACACATGCTCAGGTGCTTGCTGGCTGAACAGGCTCCTTGCCATTCCCAGCCTCCCACACCTCAGTTCTCGGTTGGTGAGTGCTGGTGACTGTCAAGGCGGCTGTACCGGCTGCTGCCTGTTTCCTGCCCTCCTCAGAGCCTGGCACAGTGGCAGCATGGAGGTGGAAAACCACAGTGATGATACAGTGTTTACTTCCTTTCAGATGACCCAGTGTCCCTCCTGTGTTGCCACCTCCCCCAGACCTTCCTTCTGGGAGCTTGTTTAATCCATGCCTCTGAATTGACTTCTTTATCATCCCAAAGCCAGCCAGTCGTGGGAGTGCTAGGTTTCATCTCAAGACTGGAGGCAGGCAGCAGAGCAGTTTGTAACTGGAGAAGAAGCACTTATCTGAAAGATACTGTTCTGGGACGGGGAAAGTGCCTTCCTGTTCACCAGGTCTTCAAAGGAGTCTGACACGTTCCCCTTGCCCAGATTTTACACAGCAAATATGTGTGTTTAGAGAGGTGAAAATAACATTTAACAAAAAATGGGAATTTTCCTGCCTTCCAAGTGGTGGCTCAGACAAGCCTGGTGTTTGCAGCTCACCTCCATTTTGCCATCAGGACAATGACTGTGGTAATTAAATGTAGGTGACTTGTGACTTCTCATTTGGCAGACTGAGGGCCAAAAGAATGATAGGGAAGCCAGGACCTTTCCTATGTTGGGTTGACTGTCAGAACACAGTCAGAGGAGCCCTCTGAAGTCACACTGGGGTCATGTGACACGAGAGGGTAACAGCTCAAGGAGACAGAGATGAGGTATGGGACACGGAGAACTATACTCTGACAGTTTTCTTCACCTGACTCTAGTTGGGAATTTGTAGGCGTGTAAAGTTTAGAGAGGCAGCTCCTTTGGCTATACAGCTTACTTAGGAAGACACTACAGACTCCGAAGGATGGAATTGCAATGATACATCTGAGTCAAATTCTTTTTTCTGAAGGGTTGAAAAATCTGTTTGGCTCCTTTACTGACTGGCTTCTTAGCACCCTATGAATTGAGATGCAGACAAATAGTAGGGCCTAGCATCTCTTGTCTGGCTTTCTTCACATGATTTCTGGCACTCCCTTCTGCTTGGAGATGGGTGACATTTGAGATTGTAGTCTGGTTCTGAGGACTCTCCCTGCCTTCTGTCAAGCTATCCCATCTTGACTTTGTAGTTTGTAGGGCCAGCAGCATATATACAGCCCAAGGAAAGAACAGAGAGGGTTCATTCCATCCTACGTAAGGCAGTAAAACCAGACCATCTTGCAAGCTGGGTATACTGGTGCGTGCCTGCAGTCCTAGCACTGAAGAGATGGAAGCAGGAGGATTGCTGCAAGTTTGCAGTCAGCCTGGGCAATACCTGGTCTCACAAAATACAACAACAAATCAGGTCATCCTGACATTGACAGAGAAGGTTGGAAAAGAAGGAGAGAAACGTTTAGTATTTTGGCTTTGGCATTTTTGTCTGCATGCCCTGGGGTCTATGGAGTACCGTTAGTATGTTGACTCACTCACGCAGGGTGGCTTTTGCCATTGAGAGCAGAGATTTACCGTATAGAACCTGCTGGGGAAAGAACAGAAGGAATCAGAGTAGGCTGATAACCACTAGCTTTCTCCCCTCATCTGAGGCCCACCTCCTGTCTCCTGTCCCATCTGTTCCTCATCTCATGGATTTCAACAAAATGGGAATGCCTTAACCTGGAGCTTTGAAGAGCAGTACTATGTACGGTGTACTAGTCTACAATGAGATAAGGATACACAGCTGGACATGGTCCTTAAGTATAGAAGCTTCATAGCTATGATTCATAACTATAATCCCCACCTCAGGAGGCAGAGGCAAGAGGATTGCCACAAGTTTGCGACTAGCTTGATCTACATAGCAAGTTCAGAGCCAGCTAGGGCTACATAGCAAGATTCTGCTTCAAAACCAACCAATAAATTGATCATGGAAAAATGATTGGGCTGGGGGGAATGTTAGTTAGTCCTCTGACATAGCTGATTTGCATCGTAGCTTCCAAGCAGTTGCAGAATTGCCACTCAGCAGGCGCTGCACACACCGAGGTGCTCTGAACCTGCCTCTCCATGAGAAGCCATTATTGGGACCTTGGAATCGTTCTTGGGGCAAAGCAAGAAGCTAGAAATGGAGAAACCTGGTTAAGTATAGCTGCCAGCTCATTCAGAGGGTCAGAGCAGGCTGCTGGGGAGGTGGAAACACAGGCAGACTGGAGGCTGAGCGTGATGTGATGAGGCAGGGCCAGTGCAGAGGGCAAATGCCCCTTTCTTTCCCTTTCAGGGGCATAGAGCTGGGGATCTGTGTGGAGAACTGTGAGTTACCCTACTGCTTCTGGGGGCAGATCAGCCCACTGAGCTTATCTGTCTTCACAGGAAAACAGCAAATGTTGGGGAAGAACGTTCTGGTTGTCTCCGTCATCACAGCTGAATGCAATGAGTTTCCTAACTTGGAGTCAGTAGAAAATTGTAAGTACCACCCTGGTCCTTGTCCTCAAAGTAAGCTCTTGTCTAGGACTGTCCCTCCAGCTAAGCTGCTGCTTAATGGCCTTAGAGACTGGGGCTCACCAAATGCCAAGAGCCACAGAAAATGTCACACAGACTCTTCACTGAGTCCCATGTGACACTTGCCTTCTGAACTGAGCAAGGGACTAATTAAGAAACGTGTACATACCTGGACAGTGGTGGTGCACACCTTTATTCCCAGCACTGGGGGGCAGAGGCAGGCAGATCTCTGTGAGTTTGAGGCCAGGCTGGTCTACAGAGTTGAGTTTGGGGCAGGGGAGAAGAAAAAGAAAGAAAGGGAAGGAAGGAAAGAAAGAAAAGTGGATAATATCCAGGCCAGGACTCAGGAAGAGGCAGGCCATGTCTACAAAGAGAGTACCAGGACAGCCAGGGCTACACAGAGAAACCCTATCTTGAAAAAGAGAGAGAGAAAAAAAAGAGGATAGGGAGAAATGTGGACACTTTGCTGGTTTTTCTCAGGAAATCTTCCACTGGGGGAAGGAGTTTGTAGCCATTTATACTACAGTGAAGCTAAGTCATTAGTCCTGAGACTCACTTCCCTAAGCAATAGATTAGATTTGGGACTTGGAAGTTTCCAATGTGAACATCTGAGTCTTTGAATCTTCCTCAGTCTTGGATGAATGTAAGATGGTTGCAAAGCATCCTGAACTGAACTCTGCAGGTCTTCCAACTCTTTTTGCTAAGTCAATGTTATACTTTTCAGCTAAAAGCTGATAGGAAGGATCTCATGATTCTGGTGGGGAAACTAATCAGCAAGCTGAGTGGGGCTTTGCAGAGGACCCTGCCTAGTTTAAACACATGTATTATCTGCTAGGCCTGCACAACCAGTGTGGTGCCCACCTTGCTGGGTTTTGTTGTTGTTGATTTATTTATTAATTCGTATGTGTGAAATACGTATGTTTGTTCATGTGGTTGTGTGCAAATGAAAGGCATACCTTGGTATCGGGTGTCTTCCTCTGTCACTCTCTACCTAATGGTTTTTAAAAGTGTCTCTTATGAGCCTGGAGCTCATCATTTCACTAAACTAGTTGGCTAATGAGTTCCTGGGATCTGCTTGTATCCACCCCACCTCTCCACCCCCAGCACACCAGTCATATGTGCCACTGAATCTGACTTTCACAGGGATGCTGAAAATCCAAACAAAACTCAGGTTCCTTGTGATTGCAGGCATTTTACACATCCTCCTGTTTGCTTGCTTGCTTATTTATTCAAAGATTAATATAGGTTGACTGGTCTACAGTCTCACTTTTGTCATTTCAGACACCCTAACCATAAACGATGACCAGTGTTTACTTGTCTCTGAGACTGTCTGGGGTGCCCTCCGAGGTAAGAAGGTGGGGAAGGAGGTGGCAGTGAGTACCCACTTAGGGAATAAGGAGGACAGTTGGATCATTTCCCCATCTTGTATTAACCCTTGGTGCAGCAGCGCACATGGCAATGGGAGCTGGAAGCTGGGTGGAGGACCCTGCCACAGACACTATCCTGTTCACTCAGTACACAACTGGAAAGTCTGAGAAATAAAGCTAACCCAGGCATGCTGGTAGTACATGCTAATAGTCCCAGAACAGAAGCACACATGGCAATGGGAGCTGGGAAGCTGGGTGGAGGACCCTGCCACAGGCACTATCCTGTTCACTCAGTACACAACTGGAAAGTCTTTGAGAAATAAAGCTAACCCAGGCATGCTGGTAGTACATGCTGATAGTCCCAGAACAGAAGAGGCCTGGTTATGGATCTAGTTTCCTTGGAATTCATTGCTGTGATTTTTATTCCCAGTTCACTGGGAGATATGAAGGGCAGCACACTGGGGCCCCCACTTCCAGATGGATGCGTCATTTCTATTCCTGGGGTCTTCACTTGCCACTCCCCTTCTCGCAGGTCTGGAGACTTTCAGTCAGCTCGTTTGGAAATCAGCTGAGGGAACAGTGAGTATGGACTCTCCAGGAGGCTCTGGGGTTTGTTTCCTCCAAAATCTGTCTTACTTTAGATAGAGTCCTCCCGATTGCCCCAGTGGGAGTATGGGAAGAGATAAGGGTTGATAGAGTTGATCTATTTGGAGATACTGTAATGTGGTTCCCTTGGGTCATTTAGTCATTATCTTGATGCCACATTGCTTTGAAGAAAACAAAACTGCTAGCTTCAGGAAAATACCATGTGTAGATTGAGTATTTTATGGGATGCTTGTGTTTGGTTGGCATGGGACAGTTACTTGTGGTTTTTGATGCAGAGAGGTTGGTGGGAAGGGTGGAAGGATTAGTTATTTTGGAGAACATTCACACATTGGCTTTTGGGGGTCTTGGGAGAGTCTCTCTCATTCTTCTTTCCCCATGATAAGCTCCCTTTGAACCCTGAAGCATTCAATGTTGGTTCACACAGTTCTTTATCAACAAGACGAAGATTAAAGACTTTCCCCGTTTCCCTCACCGGGGCTTACTGCTGGATACATCTCGTCATTACCTGCCATTGTCTAGCATCCTGGACACACTGGTAACCAGGCCTCAAGGCCTCATTCATTTCATGCACTAGTTCTGAGATAATGGGGTAAAGGATAATAGATGTCATATTCCTAAACAAAAGAAGGATGTTCAGGGCTAGAAAGGTGACTCAGCAATTAAGAGCACTAGCTGCTTTTTCAGAGGTCCTGAGTTTGATTCCAAGCAACTACTTGGTGACTCACAACCGTATCTAGTGGGATCTGATGTCCTCTTCTGGCATAAAAGTGTATATACAGATAGAGCGCTCATACACATAAAATAAATAAATAAAATCTTTAGGGAGGGTCCATGTGTAACTCCTTGAGCCCCTGGGAAAAGTATAGAACACTGTACACTCCAGGGTAGGAGTGATTTGGCTACAGTGCTGGTTATACTATTTTGGAGGATTAGTTTCTCTTGCTAGGCAGAGCTGATTGGAATTTAATTCAGTCAATATTGTAGGAAGGTTAATCCTAAAGCCTTTGCTGGGGAAGTTCCTAACACTCCTGAATTTGATGTGTAGGCAACTCATGTGGCTGCCTTTTTCTTTGTCCTTTCAGTGGGACCAAGGGAGCTGCATGTGTCAGTCAGCTTTGGCTTCTGGGAGTAAGTTATGTGGCAGCTGAGTTCCCAGCAGCCTCCCAGTAAGATAATGAAGATGGCAGGAGGAAGTGTTGCTTTGAGATAGAAGTGGACTTTTGAAAGACAAGAGGGTTCAGCAGTGGCTGCAGCATTCCTCTCAGTGTGGCCAGAATTCATCTGGAAGAGAGGAGGTGCCAGTGGACCCTGTAACATGCTCCCTTATGGAAGATCTGACTTAGAATCCTTAGAAGTGCATCTCTGGAAATTAGGAAAGTTGAGTTTGCTACTGCATGTAGAGCAGTCTCCCCAATTTGGGATTCATGATCTGTGCTCTGACCTCCAGGACGTCATGGCGTATAATAAATTCAATGTGTTCCACTGGCACCTGGTGGACGACTCTTCCTTCCCGTATGAGAGCTTCACTTTCCCAGAGCTCACCAGAAAGGTATGATTTGCCTTATCCAAACACAGCTTCCAGGTTCACGAGGGTAGTGCTTCTCATCCTAACCAAACAAAGGGAAAGGACAGCAGCTTCCGAGTCAGGACCCATGGATTCAAGTCCACATATTAATTTGCTTTGAAACCTTTAAGAGATAATATCTCCTGGTTTTGGTTTTTGATGTTGTTATCTACATACATTCCATTTAAATGGACACAATTCCTTCCTGTTTATCCCATTGGCCATATACTGCTCAGAAAACAGTAGATGCGGCACTAGGGAGATAGATAATTCAGTGAAGTGTCTGCTGAGCAACATGAGGACTTGAATTCAGATCCCCAGCACTGGGTGAGGGTGGAGAATGGAGAGATGGAGTGGGGGGTGGTGTCAAAATAGGTGGATTCCTGGAGCCTAATGGTGAGTTTTAGATTCCATACCTGACTGTCTTAGTGTTCTGTTCCTGTGAAGAGATACCATAACCATGGCATTCTGGAGACAGGGTTTCTCTGTGTTGCCCTGGCTGTCCTGTAACTAGCTCTGTAGACAAGTTTGGCCTTGAACTCACAGAGATCCACCATCCTCTACCTCTGGAGTAGTGGGTTTAAAGGTGTGTGCCACCACTACCCAGCCATGGCAACTCTTATAAAGAAAAGCATTTGACTGGGGCTTGCTTACAGTTTAGAGGTTTGTCCATTATCATCATGATGGAAAGCATAGCAGCATGTAGGCAGACATGGTGCTGGAGAAGGAGCTTGAGAGTTCTACATCCAGATCCGCAGGCAGCTGGAACAGAGAGAGCCACTGGGCCTAGCTTAAGCTTCTGAATCTCAAAGCCCACCCTGAGTGACATACTTCCTCTAACAAGGCCATACCCAATGGTGCCACTCCCTGGTGACCAAGCATTCAAATCTATGACCCTGTGGGTTGCATTCTTATTCAAACCATCACAGACTCTGTCTCAAAAAACAAGTCATTCGGGACACACCTAATGTTTACCTGGGGCTTCCATGTGTACACATGCACACGCTCCAAGAGAAAGCAGTAGATGTGTTAATTTTTGAGAAAGTATGGTCCCTGAAGAAGTCCCCAGTACACATGGGCCATGGACAAGTGTTCACAGAGAATGAGAATCTGAAGGTTATCTTCTGTCTTTCAGGGGTCCTATAACCCTGTCACCCACATCTATACAGCACAGGATGTGAAAGAAGTCATTGAATATGCACGGCTTCGGGGTATCCGTGTGCTGGCAGAATTTGACACTCCTGGCCACACTTTGTCCTGGGGGCCAGGTAAGAATAATGCTGCAATTGGAGGGGTCTGTCCAGAGAGGAGCTCCAGGATATTGGCTCTTATATGTCATGTATCCTGGCTGTGGCCCTTGGAAAACTGTTCTTCATCAACTCCTTCCCAGAGGAAGTTCTTTCCAATGGCAAAGCAAGGGGGTGGCCCGACCGAGACTAGTAACATAGTCTTCATCCTGGCATCTGCTACCCATGCCTTTTCCAAGGGTGTCTCTTGGCCCCAGAGACTTCCTGCCTGGGGAAGCTCCTGGGAAGTATTTAATTTGTGCAGAGTAGGGCACTTTTACGATTAAAATATGAACAGATGGGGCTAGAGAGTTAATGGCTCAATGGTTAAAAGAGCTGGTTACTCTTCAATTCCCAGTACCCATGTAGTAACTAATAAACATCTATAATAGTAATTCTATAGGATCTGATGTGGAGACACATATACACACAAAACACCCATATACATAAAACAAATGTATCTTAAAGAGTGGAGGGGGGTGGAGAGGCCAGGTATATTGGTATACAGCTATATACCCAACATTTGGAAAACCACAAAGGCAAGAGGATCTCAAGTTCATTTCAGCCTGAGGCATAGAAGTGATGCCCTGGCTTCTACCCCCTCCCAAAGGGGAAGATGTTTCCCAGACACTGCTCTAGGTTTCTTGTACTTTAGGGTAGATACTGAGGAGTTTGATCCCTGGATAGAATCTGTAGGAAAGAAATGTTTGGGGACAGAGTGGCACACACTTTTAATCCCAGCACTCGGGAGGCAGAGGCAGGCAGATCTCTAAATATGAGTCCAGACTGGTCTACAGAGTGAGTTCCAGGACATCCAGGACTACCCAGAAAAGCCCTGTCTGAAAAAACAAAAAAGGAAGTTGGAGCTGGCCTCCAGAGGTCACTGTTACTTTGTAACTCTTGCTGCTTACTCACTTGCTTCCGTAACCATGAACCTAGAGTGAGATCCCAGATGAAGCCATGGGGAGATTGAAAAAGGCTGCTGCTTGGCCTAGCCACAAGCAGGAAGCTCCAGGCCAGAGACACCCCTCTGGAAATGTGGAACTGGGTAGCAGGAGCTAGAGTGGAGGAACTGTCATTATGTGTCTGAGACATTTCCCTGCTTTGCAACTGAAAGGCCACTTAAGAACAGCAGCCTTGAGGAAGCGGGTGATTTATGCTGGAAGACGTGTATCAGGTCAAGAGTGTATGCACATCAGTAGTTATGTGTCTGCAACCCAGCCTCCATCTCTGATGGCAGATATATTTGTATTTATTTGAGTGTGACTAAACAGGTTGTTACTGTGAATACTGGGTGCTACATAAGAGCCTCATGTGTAGGAGTATACATGGGAATCTATGTATTTCTAACACTTGTATGGGTTCTCTGTTAACTTAGGTGTTCCTGGGTTATTAACTCCTTGCTACTCTGGGACCCACCCTTCTGGCACCTTTGGACCAGTGAATCCCAGTCTCAACAGTACCTACGACTTCATGAGCACATTCTTCTTGGAAATCAGCTCTGTCTTCCCGGACTTTTATCTTCACCTGGGAGGAGATGAAGTTGACTTTACCTGCTGGTATGAGCCTTTTGGACTTCATACACCAGCCTGAGGGTGGGTTACTCGGAGAATAGAGGTCAGCACTGTGAACCTACTGCCACTACTTAGAGACTGTCTGCTGAGGGAGCCCTGGGTGATTGGCAAGGCTGTTGACATGAACCCTTCTTCCACCTCTCTCACACATCCTTGAGAATTTTATGGATATACTCTTGTCTTGGAAAATTAGGGGATAGAGAAAAGTAATTCACATTTACAAAGGCTTAAAATAGTCTAATCAGGAGGCTAGTACAGGGGCTGGAGAGGTGGCTCAGCAATTAAGCGCACTGACTGCTGCTCCAGAGGTCTTGAGTTCAATTCCCAGCAGCCACATGGTGTCTCACAATCATCTCTAATAGGATCTGATGCCCTCTTTTGGCATAAAGACATGCATGCAGATAGAGTGTGTACTACAATTTAATATGCCATGGGAGACCTGCCCTTTCCTAAGCAGAATCTAATTGGAGGAGTAGTGGGTTGGGGGATGGGAACAGAGGGAGTGAAGGGAAGGGACTGGGAGAAGAGGGAGGGGAGACTGCAGCAGGGATGTAAAATAAATAATTTTTAAAAAAAGAGTCTAGTACAGCCTAGAGAGAGAGCACTGTCAGAGGCCTGGGGTTCAGATTCCCAGCACCTACACTGGGCAGCTCACAAAGGCCTGTAACTAGATCCAAGGGATATGGCCTCTGTGGGACCGTGTACTCATGCATGCACATACATATACTCATAAAGAAAATAAGTTTTAATCTAAAAAGTTGAATCTATTACAGAATTCAAAATTAATAAGTGACAAGGCCTAATTAATGTTAACACATAAATTCTAAACTCTCAGATCTACAGAGTTCAAAAGAGGCCAGGGAGCTTCTGAAAAGTAGTCCCTAGAGTTGGACCTGACAAAATAGCTTGTCTTTGGGGCACATAATGAGAAGAAAATAGAAGCAAAACACAGGCACTGTATGGTGAGGGATCTGCAGGAGGTCACAGTCGTAGGCTTGGTGTCCAGTTAGAACAGCAGAGAAGGAAGCCATGTCCAGCATGCTACAGCTCCTGCTTAGCCTTGGGTCCTAGTGTAGGTGGAAGGTGCACTCTCCCTGCGAGTTTGGACTTCAGACTCTTGAAGCTGAGGCTTCTTTCATTCCTAGCCTGTGTCTGCGGCTCATTACAGCTTTGTGTGGCCATGCCTTCACTGGAGGACTTCTGCTGTCTCGGTGCTTTCAGTGTTTTAGGTGAAAGGGACAGTTATAGGAGGCCAGGTGACTGATCTGTAAGTTGTCACAAATTTCAGGGTGATGAAAGAACTAATCGTTTTTTTCCTTTTTGCTACTCAGGCGGTCCAACCCCAATATCCAGGCCTTCATGAAGAAAAAGGGCTTTAATGACTTCAAGCAGCTAGAATCCTTCTACATCCAGACGTGAGGAAGGAAGGGGGTGGGGCACATTAGGAGTCATCTCTGGTGGGGGATGGTCTCTGCCTTCTGTACCAGAGTCAGTCTCTGTGTCACCACTCCCTGCCCCCAGAGGTCCCCATCTCCTATCCTTTCATGTTTAGAGTGGTCAGATGGTGGCCCCAGAGAAGGGAACGCCCAGTCGGGGATAGGCCCTGCCCAGCTTGGCATCTAGAGGGCTGGCACACACAGCGGAGTGACCCTTTGCTGATGTCCCTCTCCTCTCCAGGCTGCTGGACATCGTCTCTGATTATGACAAGGGCTATGTGGTGTGGCAGGAAGTGTTTGATAATAAAGTAAAGGTGAGCCAGGGGCAGAGAAGAGGCGCCCCTGTCTCCATCTCCCTGCCCTCCCCGACCTCTAGAGAGACCAGTCCTGGTGTGGAATAGGCTTTACTGGTCAGAAAACTCTCTAGAAGAGCTACAGAGGTGTGACTTCTTACCTAATTGTGACTGCTTAGGATGCCTGAGACTTTATGTGCTGTTTTCTTCCTGAATCATAGCTAGGCCTGAGTCCTTTTTTGGACCCTACTGCTACTCCCTCAGCTCTCAACAAGTAATTACTACTTCCATGTAGACAGGGAAGCTGCGGTGGGGCTGGGAGGGGAGCATCTGTCAGAGTAGGGCTCACCTGGGCTCTGTGGAGGGTGTGTGTGAGATGAGTGATAGTCACAGAAGCATCTTTTGCTGCTTTGGAAACAAGGAGTGCACTCCCCTTGGCTTGGGTGTCTTGATAAGAATGAAACTCAATACTCCATATCGTGACTGCCCTTTGACCTTTTATGACAGGTTCGGCCAGACACAATCATACAGGTATGGCGAGAGGAGATACCAGTAGATTACATGAAGGAGATGGAACAGATCACTAAGGCTGGCTTCCGGGCCCTGCTTTCTGCTCCCTGGTACCTGAACCGAGTAACTTATGGCCCTGACTGGAAGGACATGTACAAAGTAGAGCCCCTGGCATTTCATGGTGAGAGCAGGGAAATCTCTTGACAGACCAGAGTCTGGGCTGAGATGCAGGGTGGAGAGATGACTCAGAGGTTAAGAGCACTGACTGTTCTTCCAGAGGCCCTGGGTTCAATTCCCAGCAACCACCTGGCAGCTCGCAACTATCTGTGACTCCAATTCCAGGAGATCCTACACCCTCACATAGAAGACAAAACACCAATTCATATAAAATAAAAATAAATTATCTAAAAAGAAAAAAAGAGGCAGGGTAACACATGACAATTTAGGAAATGAAATGGCCTATCTGAGAAGGCCACACTGGAGGGATTGAAAGTGATACCCCTCCCCCCACTCCTGCCCATGCTGTTGTTTTCTCACAGGTACCTCTGAACAGAAGGATCTGGTCATTGGAGGGGAGGCCTGTATGTGGGGAGAGTATGTGGACAGCACAAACCTAGTCCCCAGGCTCTGGTAAGGATTTGGGGGTCAGGCCAGGAGGGTAGAGCAGAGGGGATGGAGAGGTCAGGCTTGAGGGCTAGGCTCCTGCCTCACAGGCTCACTCCCTTCAGCCTGAGAGCAGAGAGAGGAGCACTGAGATGATGCTTCTCTGCACTGGAGGCTCATGTCTTCTGAGTGTGTGCTTCTGCGTGAGGTCTGCAGGAGGATGACCACTGTCCCACTTCACAAGTACCATAGAGAACACAGGGCACTTGCTTGGGATCTGTTACTGGGAGAGTAAGGTCTTTTCCTCAGCAGCCTCCCCAGATATGGTTGGGTAAACCAGTTAAGTTAGCTTGTCAGCCATCCATGCTTCTAAAGCTAACCCTTATTCCTATGTGTTTGGGAGAGGAGGGGCTTGGGATCACTCGCTATCTGGATGCTAATGAGGGTGGGGCTGAGCCTTGGAACTACCTGAGAGCCCCTGTCTGGCTGTTGGCCTTGAACAAGGTGTCATTCATGTCTGGGCCCCGAGCTAGTCTGGGAAGGAAGATGTATGGGGCCCAGCCTGCTGTGCACTCCTCCCCATAGGCCCAGAGCCGGTGCTATTGCCGAGAGACTATGGAGCAGCAACCTGACAAATAATATGGACTTTGCCTTTAAACGTTTGTCGCATTTCCGCTGTGAGCTGCTGAGGTAAGCAGGCTGTGGGCAGATCTGAGGCTGGAGAACCCAAACTGAGAAGAAAAGAGTGAGAGCCGAAACTTATTGTGCCAGGCCGTGTTCTTGACTGTCCCATTGAATTTGTATCATAGCCCATGAGGTGGGAAAATTTTGTTCCCACTTTAGGCACCTAGATCTCCTGAGTACTTTACCCAAAGTCAGCAGGAAGCAAAAATTGAATCTGTCAGCTCTGATATACTCTCATGAATGCCTATACCTCCCTTGACTGTGGGCTTGTGTAAGCAGTCATTTCCTTGGTTCAGTTATTGACTGGTCTTGATAACGTAAAACACAGCCTAGTGCAGAGGAGGCTTCTGGGCTGAGAACCGTGCATCATGAACTCTTAAACACTGGGTGACTCTGAGCTGGTATTTCGCTATGTCTAAGCATGCTTATTTGGATTATAATGGAGATGTACTTGGAGGTCCCTAAAGGTCAGTTCTAGTACTTGAGTCTGAGACAGAAGGATAGCGCTTAATCCCCAGCTCAGTCCTTGTCCACTACTGTGCTTAGAGGACATTAAAAGCAGGAGTGGGCATCTGAGAGGGCTAAGAGCATCAGACACCCCTCAGGCTCTTACCTCTTTTCTAACATGACTGTGGTTGGGAGAGGGCTTGGGAGGAGGGATACCGGGGAGTAAAGACCTTCAGGATAGAAAAAGGGAGGTTCTTCATTTAGAGGAACCTCAAGTGATTTGGGTACAATAATATTTTGGGACTCACTGACATGGGAAGGGGGCTCATGGCCATTGTGGAGAGGGTGTTGCAATGGTCCAAGGTGGAAGTACTCACCTGCCATTTTTTGTCTTCTTACAGGAGAGGAGTCCAGGCCCAGCCCATCAGTGTAGGCTACTGTGAGCAGGAGTTTGAGCAGACTTGAGCCGGCAGCACTGAGCACCCAGGAGGGTGCTGGCCCTAAGAGAACAGTCACGGTGCCAAGCTGCCACCGTCTCCCTGCCAGGGGACAGAGCCCCTTGCCCACGTGCCCCTGTGACTACAGAGGAGGAGGCTGGTGCTGGCACTGGTGTTCAATAAAGAGTGATGTGGCATTTTCTCTGATGAGCTTGGATTGCTTGTGTAAAGAGCATGAACCGCCCTCAGGGAGAGCCAGCCTAGCCTTCTGCTTCTAAGTGATTGAGCTAAGCAAGCCCAGTTGGTTAGACATAGAACCTGGGCTGGGATGGTCATACAGGTTAAAGGCTATGCTTAGCCACTACCACACTATCCTCAGAAAGGTCACTTCATTTTGTGTCACTTTCAAGGGTTCTGTATATGAAAGAAGATGCTATGGGAACTTAAAGAAGTTCCAGGCAGTGGCAAGGGCTCCAGAAACCTCTGCTGTACTCGCCTTCAGGTTTCTTGCTACTGTAATTTCCATGACCCACTATTTATGTTCTGTTGAACAAATACTGTGACCCTAACCCTGTTATAAAGTATTCATTTTTCTCTTTTGGTTTTGAGACAGCTTCATGTAAGCTAGGCTAGTCTTGAATTTGATATATATATATATATATATATATATATATATATATATATCGGCCTTGAAACTTCTGAGCCTTCTGCCTCCTAAATACTGAGATTACCATGCACACTACTACTCCCAGCAAGTTACTACTTTTTAAGGACTTGTTTCTGGGGTTCCTGGGCAAATCCAAAGTAATGCAGACAGCTTCTCACTCCTCCCTCCTGGTTTTCAGCTCAAAGCCTCCTAGAGTGGATGACACAGCTAATTTGGAAAGTAAAGTCCTGGGGGCACGTTCCTGTTCCTGGAGGAGGCTCTTTGTCCTGTGTGATCTGGTGTTCTCCAAGAGGAATTGTCTTGCTGTGGACTCAAGCTGCCCTGCTGGCTGGATGCAGGGCCCTTTGCCTGGTCTGCAGGTTCCAAGTGTCTCATCCTGCAGTGTGCTGGATCGAAGCTTTTGGAAGGCAGGGCTAAGAGATAATCTAAACCAAACTTGACCCTTAACTGCTATCCTTCAGTCCCCCATGATTGGCCACTAGAACCCTCTATCATGCTGTGTCTATGAGAATGGAGTGACAACCTTCTGCTAGAGCAAAGTCTTAGGGAATTTTCATAGTCCTACCTAGCCAAGCCTGGTTCTATCCTGGAGAGCCATAAGCTAAGGCTTCACTACACCAAAGGAGCTTTCTACCTCCGTTACCCAGAAACCTAAGGGTTGCTTCCTGACAAGGACTCTTCAGAAATGAAATGAAAATATTATAGACATTTGATACCTCCTTTACATGTCAGTCTTTTTTCTGTTTCTTTGTTTTATAGACTTTTATGTGTATGAGTTTTCTCACAGACATATCTTTTTTGTTTTGTTTTGTTTTTGTTTTTTTCGAGACAGGGTTTCTCTGTATTGTTTTGGAGACTGTCCTGGAACTCGCTCAGTAGACCAGGCTGGCCTCCAACTCACAGAGATCCGCCTACCTCTGCCTCCCGAGTGCTGGGATTAAAGGCATGTGCCACCAACGCCCAACTCACACACACATCTTAATCATGTGTTCTGGGACTGAAGTGATGGACAATTTGTGGGTCCTCTGCAAGAACAGCAAGTGCTCTTAACATCTGAGCCACCTCTTCAGCTCCCCCCTCCCCCTTTTTTTCTTGTTTTTTTGAGACAGAATCTCACCCTGCAGCCATGGCTGGCCTAGAGCTCATAGAGATCCACGTGTCTCTGCCTCCTGAGTGCTGAGATTAAAGGTGTAGCACCCTCACAACCCCACCCCCAAACCAGGTATCAACTTTTCTGAGACAATCCATCCCAAATTGGGATTCCTCCAATGGTGTCATGCTGGGAGAAGGCTAAGGCTAAGGGCTCTTTGTTGCACATGGAATAAATCCTGCTTATCACTGTTTGGCTTGCCGAGGTCAGGTGGCTGAACCCTATTAGGGCTGCCAGCCCCCAGGCTCTCTCACCTGACAACTCCAGTAACAAAAACACTGTTGATGGACTTTAAATGTCTGCCCTCTCCTGGGACACCTTTGGTGTTCCTACTGTTTGGGCCAACGTTAAGGAAAACAACAAGCACTGTGCAAGTCAGTGAAGGAAGAAACCATGAAGACAGGTCCTAGTTTAAGTTTCTGTGACTTTTTACTCTCTGAAACATTTTTTTAGTTACCACAACTTTTTAAAAAAATCACTCTATGGTGGTGCACGCTTTTAATCCCAGCACTCGGGAGGCAGAGGCAGGCAGATCTCTATGAGTTTGAGGCCAGGCTGGTCTACAGAGCAAGTTCCAGGACAGCCTCCAAAACAATACAGAGAAACCCTGTCTCGAAAAACCAAAAACACCACTCTACCCTGGTCAAGATAAGGCAGGATACACTTTTCCCTAGCCTCCCCAGTTGCTGCTTGTGTCCAGTGACCACGAGGGCATTTACCTGAAGATTGTCAGACCTCAAACTGCCCTGAGGCCAGAAACAGTGGTCCACAGCCAGCACCCAGTGTGTGCAGTGCAAAGAATCGAGCTTGCTAGGGCTCCTATTTACCACCAGGGGGCAGAGAAGTACCCATATTGTCCTCCTGGCACTGGTCTTCCTGGACTGGCCCTCCCACTCTGAACCTAAGTAGGTAGCACAGGACCCAGAAGAATAAAAAGGAGTAAATGAGAGCACTTGGTCTCCCTCTCCTTATTAAGGAATGAGACTCAGTTCCTCGTAACACACCTTCCAGGACTCTGGTAAACTGGTGTCCCCATGTCTTCAAGTGCACTTCATTGGGTCATTGTAGGGATGTTGTATCAGGGCTTGGGGGTACAGGTGCCATCACAGCACTGGCAATGCTGTGGTGGTGTCCAGAAACTTCTAGACCACTGAAGTGTGAGGAAAGCCAATAACTGAGAAGGAAAGGGGAAAGGAAAGGATGTGTTCTTTATTCATATGAGACACATGTCATCTAATATTCCTAACACCTATGAAATCTACATTTATGGGATTTTTATCAGTATCTTTTGAGGTTAACCTGACACATGGTATAGTCAGAGTCTGATTGGCATAGCAAGTGTGTGTGTCACTTGCTTCATCTTGTTTTGGTTTTGTTTGTTACTTTGAAAATCAGAATTTGGATGCTTTGTTAAGTGAAATTGTTTTACCTTTACAGATAAACTTTGAACAGCTGAAAATAAGCATCTATTCCTATACTGCTATAAACCCAGAGCACTGTAACATCTCAGCGTCATCTGCTTCCATTATTGTTACCATAATGCTTAGGGACTGAGCCCAAGACTTTGCACACATTAAGTAAGTGGTCTGCCACTGAGCTACATCCTACATCTGGAGCCCAGTTTATATATCTTTAAAAAGAAGAAAATGGGGCTGCTGAGAGGGCTCAGCGGGTAAAGGTGCTTGCCACTAAGCCTGAGAATCTGAGTTTAATCCCCAGGACTTACATACGGGTTGACTTAAAAAGAGAAAACCGACTCCTCCAAGTTGTCACCTGACTTCATGTGAATTCTGTGGCCTGTGAACATGTATGCACACAAGAACTACACACAAGGTAATAAGCTTTTTAAAACAGAAGAAACGTTAGGTGTGTCTCTTTTCAATCCTATTTCCTTCTCCAAAACTACTTCCAAAAATTTAATTTAAATCACATTTTCTTTGCAGTGTCTGATACTTAACTGTGGTGTTCTTTTTTTGTTTTGTTGTTTTTGTTTTTCGAAACAGGGTTTCTCTGTGTATCTTTGGAGCCTGTCCTGGAACTCACTCTGTAGACCAGGCTGACCTCACAAAGGTCTGCCTGCCTCTGTCACCCAAGTGCTCTGAATAAAGGCTTGCACCACAACCCCCCAGCTAAAAAAATGCTGGGCAGTGGTGGCACACATCTTAAATCCCAGCAATTGGGAGGCCAAGGCAAGCAAATCTCTGAATTTGAGGCCAGCCTGATCTACAGAGTGAGTTCCAGGACAGCCAGGGCTACACAGAGAAGCCATGTCTGACTTTGAAATCCTGCCCATTGTCCCTACAGGTCCTGAGTGATGGGAGTGCAAGCATCACCACACCCATCCTGTTAATAAATTGCTTATGGATCACTTTATAGCATAGTACAAAGGGAGATCTTAGAAGTCACAGAAGGGTGTGAAAGAGGAGGCAGAGCTAATGACAGGCAGACACTGTGGGGAAGGAGCTCCCCCACTTGGCTGGTGTGTAGCAAAGTGTGTGGACAGGAGCAGGTTAGTTACCTGAATCTGTAATCAGAAAGGATCTTTGAATGGAGAAAACCAGAAGATACTGTGGATGTTTATCTGGTCTCTCTAAGTCTCTTGAACACTCAACCCGGCAACAAAGTACTTTGTCACTTCTGGGCTGTGGAGTGCTCAACAATAGACATTGAGCTAAAGCTGTAACTTAATGGTGGAATGCTCACCTAGTGTGTACCAGAGGCCCACCCACCACAACAGTGGGTGTTATTTCATCCTGTTAATTATCCTTCTTTTCCTGTTGTGATTAGACAGAAGAACACTGTGGAAGGAAGGATTTGTTTTGGCTCAGTTTGAGGTTGCATACAGTCCATTGTGGTGGGAAAGTTACATTGGTGGAAACTTGAGGCAGCTGGCCACATTGCATCTGCCATGAGGAAGCTAAGAGGAATGAATGCTAGTGCTCAGATTGCTTTCTCTGTTTTCTGTGGCCCAGGGCTTCAGCCTAGAAAATGGTGACACCCATATTTAAAGTCTTGTCAATGCAGTTAACCTATCCAAGGTATGCTTCACAGGTGTACCTAGGAGCTGAGGAAATCTAGACACTCAGACAGGTGTACCCAGAGGCTTGTCTCAGGGGTGTGTTTAGATCCTTTCAAGTTAACAACCGTAATAGGGACAGACATAGAAAGAGTATATGACTCACTATGATTATACAGGTCGTCTGAGTCAGCATTTACTTAGAGAACAGAGCTCTCTCTGCTATGTCACCACCTGACCTACGTCAGATGTCTTCTTGCTTGGATGCCACACATAACACACCCATAATGCTGGCTACTCTGCTACATCTTGGCTTGAGTTAATTTTTGTCTGGTTTATTTGTCTATTCATTAATATGTTTATTCATGACAGAG